CACACACACACACACTCACTCACTCACTCACTCACTCACTCACTCACTCACTCACTCACTCACTCACACAGAGCTGTCAGGATGAGTGTTTCTGACTCTGAATGAGCCCTCGAGCACTAGTAAGTGTGTGTGCGGCTGAATACTGACCGCAGGCCGTGGGCACGAAGCTCTCTGCTGGTGCGTAACCTCTCCAGATCCTCCACGTCCCGAAACAGGAAGAAGACGTCTTTACACTCGGGATGTGTCTCAAACAACCTGTTACCAAGACAACAGACAATCAGCTGCTACAATCACAACTCAGAAATCACAGTCGTTTCCTGAGACGTTTCACTGATTTACTATTTTGGTCAACATTTTGAATTAGATTTTATTTTTATATTTTCATTTTAAAATTGTAATATTATTTTACTTTTTTGTGTGTTTTTGTCATTTTTTAAAATATGTCTATATAGTTTTTATTACGTTTTAGTTTATTTAGTTTAGTTATTTAAGTTCTTCCTAAAAAAACAAAAATGGGAAATGTTGCTTTGGCACCAGCAGAAATTAAATAAGTAATATATATATATATTATTATTATTTTTTTTTTTTTCAGTTAAAGTTTATTTTATTTCAAGAAATTAAAATTTTTCATTTTCACCATAGAATAAAAAAATAAAGTTTCTATTTGTTTCTAATTTTTTCTCAGAATTGCAAGAAAAATGTCGTTATTGTGAGATATTACCTTTTTATTTTTACCATTTTTTTAAATTGCAATTACCTTTTATTTATGTTTTATTCCATGGCAGAAAAAAAAATTGCGAGGAAAAAGCCAGAATTCTGAGTTTATATCTTATAATTCAGAGTTTATAGTCAGAGTTGTGAGAAACAAAGTCCGAATTGATATAAATAAAAAGCTTTAAATATATTTTAATAATAAAATGGAAAGCATAAACCTGTTTTCTTGGTTATTCAAACATTAACGGAACATTCCATTTGATCATTTTGCAAACATTGTGGGAACGTTACTTTTGAATGTTCTCTGAAACAATCAGTAACATTTAAAAAAATGTTAGACGAAAGTCCAACTACAATGTTTCAGATAAAAAAAGTTCCATGAATGAATTTTGTGCTAATGTTTTGAGAACATTATTATAGACCAAAAACTATTATAGACACAAACATTCTATTAAAGTTACTGGAAGAACGTCTGTTCGTAACATTGAGAGAACGTTGCCTGTTTGCTGGGATGAGACATAATCCAGATTTACATATCGACATGTTTTAAAGGAACATGCGCTGCTTTAAAATGATCTACTAGACGTCCAGCCTGGTTTTTTGAGTGAGGGATGTTCCTGATTTTCCAGACGTGACTGATTGTGATCCACTCATCCTGCTGATCCCGTCTAATCACTGAAGCTCTGCTGGTTGTCTGGGAAACTTTCATGCTTTTTAGACTCTAGGAAGGGCACGACTGCGTGACCTACATCACACACACTGACTGAGGAAGATCAGTGCGGCGTGAGTTTGAGGAGAATCTCAGGTTGTCTAAGATTAGGATGAGTTTGTTTCTTCATCAGGTTTGGAGAAATGTAGCATTGCATCAGTGTCTCAGCAATGGATGCTCTGCAGTGAATGGGTGCCGTCAGAATGAGGGTCCAAACAGCTGATAAAAACATCACAATAATCCACAAGTAATCCACAGCACTCCAGTCCATCAGTTAACATCTGGAGAAGACAAAAGCTGAAACAAATCCAGCATTAAGATGTTTTTAACTAAAATACGAGTCCATAATCCATAATAACGCTTCCTCCAGTGAGTCAGTGTTCTGGTCTGAATCAGGAGAGAAATCTGCACAGATCAAGCAGCGTTTAAACAGCTCTAAACAAATCTGTGGCTGGATTTTGATGTGAGAGACAACAGTAGATGAACTTTTTCACTGGAGGAAGCGTTATTATGGACTATAGACTCGTATTTGAGTTAAAAATGTCTTAATGCTGGATTTGTTTCAGCTTTTGTCTTGTCCAGATGTTAACTGATGGACTGGAGTGCTGTGGATTACTTGTGGATTATTGTGATGTTTTTATCAGCTGTTTGGACTCTCATTCTGACGGCACCCATTCACTTGCAGTGAGACACTGATGCAATGCTACATTTCTCCAAATCTGATGAAGAAACAAACTCATCCTAATCTCGGATGATCTGAGAGTGAACACATTTTCAGCACATTGTCATTTTTGGGTGAACTGTTCCTTCAGTGTTAACGATTTACTGTTTTTCCCTGTTGTTGTTTTTCTAGTGTAATTTTTGGTGAATTTAGTTTGATTAAGCGTCCAAAAACAACGACGCAACAAGCCACAATCTACAATGAGGAGGAAGAACAGAGAATGACATAAGTGCTCGTTTCCTCTCATCTCCTGTGGAACGATAATGAGTTTCTCTGGCTTCAGACAGCTGCGTTTCCCACAGCAGGACCTGAAACCTGGAACAGAAGCTCCTCGGAGAAACACAGACACACACACTCTCTCTCACACACACACACACACACACACAGACACAGACACAGACACAGACACACACACACACACACATATATAGTTTTGAAACTTTTCAAAGGTTTAAATGAGATTGTGTCTTCATTTGCAGATTTATCTTCAGTAACAGCTGTTTCACAAATCAATCTGCAAATGTTGTTTCCTGACAAATGAATGTGTCTTAATGTGTTCGGAAAGATATATATACTGGATTTTTGTTTTGAGTGATTTTGTTTATCCATTAATATGAGCCTGGAAAAAAATGACTTCGGTCCGTAATAAGCCCAGAAAGGCTCAATTTACTGACAAAATGCTGAAGTAAGCTGACACAATGCAGCTGTCAGAGTCTGAAAATATTTCAATCTGTACAACAACAACACAATAATGAGAGCCACTTAAGTGCAAATCAACAAAACAATTAATAAAATATTAGACAAGCACAGTGAGACTCAAAGAGATGCAGTTTTTAACCTTCTACCTTTTGCCATCTCTGGATTTGATGCATTCAAGTCAGTGTCTGCATGAAAAGCATTTTGCTTTAAACCAAACAGAATTAAAACTCTTTCTAAAGATGCTTATGTACAGCTCTAGAAAGTCTATAATTGTGTATTTTAGCACAAAACAGCTGTGGTACACCTGGTGTTCATGAGCATCAGCTCTCTAGAGGTGTGAAAGCTGCTTCTGAATCATTATTTTAACCTGATTCAGCTTTTCCATTTGCACTTTTCTCACTATCCTGCTTCAGACCTTGCACTTTTTCATGATGCCAGAGATACACTGAATGTAACCAAGAGCAAAAACTCATTATATTGCTTTATATTGCAGATAATCTGAGCTGTGGTGTTTTAGACAGATTATATGCTGAAGTCAATCTTTCAGACGTCATTTATCAACATTGAGCTGAATTGTTGTCTGCTAACCGTTAATAAACTCCATATAGTATCATAATGCCAGACGACATTAAAGTCAATGTGAAATGTCATTTGAAAGCCGCTTTGCTTCTGTAATGTGACACATGTCTGATTTAAACAGGATGTTCAACAGGAAAACACTGTAGGGCGGGACTTGATTTCACAGTGAATTGATTGGATGTAAAAAGTGTCTCTATATGACAGATCTGAACATTCGAAAGTGTTTTGCATTACATAATGGACTTGAAAACTTGATTTTCTGTTTGTGATCTTAAACAATTTATCATTGTGATTGACTAGCTGTGTGACTTTAAGATGCAATATGCAATATTTTTTATTCTTAAAAATAAAGACAGTCTCCTGGGTTCAGAAAATATTTTTTGTAAAATTGATTATATAAATCCAGCCATTAAATAGACTGTAATATATTACTACATGTTATGGAAGATGACTAGAAAGTATATAATATTTCAATAAATAAGTTGTCAATACATTGTGACAACTTGCCCCGCTTTGGGATCAACATGTTAAATTAAACATATTAAAAAATAAATAACTAAATAAATATGCATATATATATATATATATATATAAATAAAATATATAGCTTAAGTAAAATATGTGACAACTAGCCCCGGTCTGTTTGGACGAGACATGACGTAATATATCGATTTGTTGTTAAATATTAGTCACTATGTGAAACATCAACAGGTATCAAATATCACTATCACTTATTATCATTCAACGTGCAACATAATGGTTTGTTTTCACTTTAATATTTGCGAACTGAAACGTGCATTTTCTGTAAAGCTGCTTTAAATGATATGCATCACGAAAGGCGCTATACAGATAAACCGGAGTTGAAGAAGAAAATTCTCACCGGACAAACATGATTATTCCCACTTTGGCGATGTCCTCCTGGATGACTTTCCAGGACTCTCTGATGAGCTGGATGTGATCCGGAGTGAGTCTCGCTGGAGCTTCGTCCTCGGTGTGTCTGCTCTCTGCTGTTCTCGGTGTCAATCCGGATCCAGAGATCGCGCAGCCCATCCTGACGCCAGCACAACTCCCTCACACATTTACAGTTTTTGTTACTTCAAATAAACATTAACTGAAATAATAAAAAAACGTATTTTATTTCAGCACGCTTTCTTTTATTTTTTTTTGTTTAACTTGAAGTACTAAAATAACTAAAACTGAAACGCGCAGCCCATCCTGACGCCAGCACAACTCCCTCAGCTCTCAGATAAACCGCTGCTGGTTAGCTGTCTGTCTGTCTGTCAGCTGGTCGGGTTAGTCGTGTGTCTCTAGCTGTCTGAGTCGCTCTGCTTCTCCATAACTGTCCGGAGTCAGACCTTCAGCGAGAGACTGAGAACCTGAAACCTGCTCAGCAGGAGGGGAGGAGTTCATCTTCATCATCATCATCATCATCTTCATCAACAACATGTAAAAGATACTTTGTTGACTCTTTTTAGGACAGTCTTAAACTACAGTATTAATGAAAAATCATAGATATGCAAAAACATATTCCTATTAATATTGAATAATGGATGCATAATAATGAATTATACAACTTTACAATTATTTATGAAAATATACAAACTATTCTAACATTTGATCTTTTAAAGGGGTCATATGATGCGAAGTTTTCCTTTCTCTTTGGAGTGTTACAAGCTCTTGGTGCATAAAGAAGATCTGTAAAGTTGGAAAGACTAAAGTCTCAAATCCAAAGAGATATTCTTTATAAAAGTTAAGAGTTAGCCACACCTACCTAAAATGGCTCGTTCTAACACGCCCCCACATGTCTACCTCACTATGTGGGAAGATTTGCATAACGCCGCCCAAATGTTCACGCAAAGAAAGAAGGCGTAACTTTTATTCTCACTGTAGTATTGTTGACGCTGCAGCCATGTCCTGAAGACGCTGTGTGCTTCGGTATGAAAGCGAAACCACTTTGTTTGGTCTTCAGAAAGAAGACACGACTAGAAATCAGTGGTTAAGTTGTATTTACAACACTGTTCCAGAACAGTTCAACCCAAATATTCAGATGTGTGCAGCACATTTTATGGAGGACTGAATGCAGCCTTGGTGAGCAGAAGAGACTTCTTCGAAAACATTTAAAAAACCTAACTATTGAACACTAGTGTACTGTATATTGTTGGTCCAGGAGGATTGTCGATGTAATAAACGCCTTGTAAGACTATAAAAGCATCTGTTACTTGCTTTCAATAAGCTACTTGCCTGTGTATATCCATTCAAAGGTGATCTGTAATCCAGGATAAGATTGAGGCTTGGCTCCTTCCATGTAAGTCATTAATCATATCCACGTCCTGAAGACTGATTAAAAAGTGCAGAAACTAATTAAACTGTAATACGGCCCCAAGTCATGTGCAATCATTTTGATACAAGTTTCTTAAAAGAAAAAACAAACACAGAAACATTGTGAGCAGGACAAAGGAAATCATGATTATAGTGTGGAAAGCTTCTTTTAATGTAGTTTGACAGAAAAATAGAATATGAACTGAACATTTTTACAGAGGTATTGTGCATCATATTTACACCAATTCAAATAAATACAAAAGTGACAGTGACATCATGCACGGAGATAAACCCCACCAATGAGCAGAAAAATACAACCAAAAACAAGCTAGCTTATAAAATCTCCCATTAAACGACACCCAAACACACATTTTGTGACTGTGCATTAATATGTTGCATTATATATTAATATAATGACCTCATAATGCTGAATGGCTGCTCACTGCTCCGGGTGTGTGTTCACAGTGTGTGTGTTTACTACTCACTGCTCCTAATATGTGTGCACTAACTTGGATGGGTTAAATGCAGAGGACAAAGTCCGAGTACCATACTTGGCCTTCACGTCACTTCATTCATTCTTTTATTTAATTAGGGTTGGAGCTAAACTCTGTAGGACAGCGGTCCTCCAGGAACAGGTTTGGACACCATGCGTTTGTGTAATTGATGCTCAATCATGCAAACAAAACTCTGATATAGCAATCCATTAACCAATGAGAACATGAGTACTTGTGCTTTGGAAATTCACTGTATTCCCACTTGATTTCAATCTGACCCACCTCTATCCACAACCTCTGGCTCTGATGGAGCATTTGATGGATAAGAATGTGCAATTTCCATCTCAAGTGTCAAGCCTTTAAGCAAATAAGTCAGTGGTTAAGTCAATACGCCAGTGGTTCCCAATTCAGGTCCTGGAGAACTCCCAACACTGCACATTTTAGTTGTCTCCCTAATCAAACACACCTGATTCAACTCATCAGCTCATAAGTAAAGACTCTAATGCCGAGTTCACACTGCACGATATTAGCCCGATTTTTCACTCGCTGACAGGTTTTGCGAAATCGCCGACAAATGCCCGTGTGTTTTGTTGTGAAATGTAGTTTGCGGACCAGACAGAGCTGTCGGCGATTCTTGCTATTGTGAAGTCATGCCGTGTGTAGCCTCCTGTCGCTGATCCATCGTGCAATGTGAACACAGCAGCAACTGAATGCTACCCCAGATAGTCACGCAGTGTGAAAACAATGGCGATCCGACGAGTTTGAAAATCGAGCAGTGTGAACTCGGCATTAGACAGGGATCCTCAAATCTGGCCCATAAGATCCACTTTCCTGCAGAGTTTAGCTCTAACAATAATCAAAAACACCTGAGCATGCTAATCAATGTCTTCAGGATCATTAGAAAATCACAGGTAGGGGAGTTTGATCAGGGTTGGAGCGTCAGGGTTAAACTCTGCAGCGCATTGGCCCTCCAGGGCAAGATTTGAAGAACCCTGCTCTAAGACCTCAAATGCATGTCAGATAAGAGAGACATTCAGATAAGAGAGACCAGGATTGGGAACTATTGAGCTACGCCATCGGGCAAAACACTGCAAGTTGGGGGATTGTCCCTCAAGTAAAAGTGAACGGTCAGTTTGGATAAGAAAGTGTCTCCAAAACAAAACAAAAAAAAAAAAAAATTATAGAAAGAACACCACTTTAACTTGGCATGTGTCTACTCAGAAACTACACCCACCTTTCTCTTTTCCTGGAGGTCTCTCCTCAATCACCGAAGACAGGTTCTTGGGAACAAAATGGTTCTCCGAGATCTTGGGCCTCTGCCTTACTACCGGTCTGTTGTTTTTGATACGCTGACTGTACTGCCTGGCCAAATGGAACACCTTATTTTTCATCTTCTCCATATCTTGAAGGATGAGTTCATCCTCATTGGCGGACCTTAAGGAGATGATCTCTGGTAGAGGAGGGTGGTTGACCTTGTGCCGCTCTTGTAATTTGTGTTCCTCGTTTGGATGCCTCTGGAAATCTTGCATCTTGTCCTTTTCTAAGACGTTGTTGATTGGGGATGAGGTAGAGCTTTCATCAGATTCTTCCAATATTACTAGAGGTTCCCCAAGTCCACTATCCGAGCTCACCTTACTGGTTTCTGCTTTCTTTTCTTCACCAGGTGCAGTCATTTGGGAATTCTCTGAGTCCTGATGTTGTTCAAAAGTCCCAGTTATCTCCACTTCCATGTCTTGCCACACTTTAACCATGTCAGATGCAGGCTGGAATTCCTCATTCCCACTTAGATCTCTAAGCTTGGACTCTTTGCCATTTGCAGGGACCCCAAAATCAGAGCTATCCATTGCTTTCTTGTCATCCCCCAAGCCTGGAAGATTAAAGACAGACCATAAAGTTGGCCTTGTGACAGAAGACGCCCTCTTGTGCAATGTCAAATCTTCGTCTGCAAGGTCATTGAGTTGCTGGCTGAGATTACGGACTAGGCCTGCAGGGATGTATGAAAGGCTCTCTCTGCGCTTGACAGCAAAGCTGGCATCCTGGTGCTCAGCATGTTTGTAGTACCACTGAATCTTATGTATGAGCAATTGGTCCTTTTTGGAAAGAGTGTCTTGTTTCTTTTCAGATCTTTGGTCTGGTATGAACGGGCTGTCAGGAACAGTCTCTGTAATTGATTCTGGAGTGGACCGTCTAAACTCTTGGCCTTTGTCTTTCTCATGAGACTCAGCACCACTGCTGAGCAAACTGCTTCTTCTACTTTCCGACCGAGAAGATGGGCAGCCCAAGTCAAACGACCCTTCGACTCCTAGACTACTTCTTCGAGAGAGGCTGCTGGCACATCGCTCTGAGATATTGCTTGCCTTGTCCAGTACGGATGAAGACAAGAGGCCACCAGGTGCTTCAACATCCACATCTACCTCCAAGTTCTGCACATCGTCTGAGAGGTTCCTGCTGGCTGGAGTCCCTTCCTTTTCCTGTACTTCAAGTCCAGTAGGGGATGGGAATACAACACAGTCCTCCATATTATCTCTGATTTCTTGTCCTCTATTATTGAGGTGTACTATCTCTGGATCAGTGTGGCATCCTGCCATTATTGTACCACACATTTCGGGATAATTATCTGATTGGTCCACTCCTGTCTCCTCTGACTCGCTAAAGGGAGAGAAGATCTTCTGTGAACTGCGTTCTCCAGTTGAGCTCTAGAAAGTGTACAGAGTGAAGTTATTGCTACAGGAAGCTATGAAGAGGATAAGGAAAGAGGATGTAAAGATAACTTAATTCAATCTCCAGCATCTCCCTTATGGCTAAGTGACCAGCATGAAACAACAAGTGCAATTTATCTAGCTGCAATTTATATTTCCAACCCTCTCCCCTTCACTGTTTTTATGATTAACCAATTATCAATAGTGAATGCTGAGAAAACAATTACCACAGTATTTCCAGAAGCAACCTTACTCTCAGAATTCACTTTTATGTGGATGTGTGCAACAATAGCACAAAGGTGAGGGTTTAGCCATTTGACAAGAGTTTATCTGCCTTGTCTTTTTTGAACCCAACATCAGTCATACACAATATATTATAGGAATTAGAAGAGATTAGAAACTAAAATATCAGTAGTTTCTATATGACTGTAGATCTTTCAATATGAACGTACATAGTGGCTGTACACAATGCCTACCCAGACAGCTTTTTTGGGATTCAGACACATTCAAACATGAGTCATTGACAACGAAAGCAGAATATAGTTTGAATACTGTCAGCACTTTTGTTGGTTTACTAGAGAGAAAGATCCATTATGAGGTTCATAATACATGACGTTACCTGTCCAAAGAGAGACAAACTTTCATTCGTATCATCATGCTTTTCTTTAGTGGGTGTTTGGCTGCTTTTGTTCATTGGCCAATTTTCCCAACAACCTTCTCTCTTCTAAGGATACAAAGAAAATTACAGGAATTTAACAGATGTAAATGTTCTACTAAATGACAGCGTTCACAGCTGCCATCTGTCAAACATCACTTTAGTGATATTTCAACCTTTCATAAACATCTGCAATTCATTTAAAAGCATCCATGCATTTCAATGCTTTTCCACAGACAACTGACCTTCTGAAATTGTTTTTGTGTGCCATCAAACAAAACACAATGAAACAGGAACCTTTGTTTAATTTAATTACGGAAGGCAAGCCATCCGACCTCCACCCCCAAAATTTGACAGTTAAATTTCCCTTTGAAGTCGAACTTCAATCAATCAAATCTCATTGTGGCTCCAAGTGCAAAAACACTTTGAGACACCCGACGTCCCGTATTATTATGCATTGGATCTTAATAACCACAACATGCTGTAAATTCCCCATCATATGTGCATTATAATCTTTGCACATTGACGCATGTACCCTGAAATATAACACGGATTCTTAAGACATGGGACAAACAATATCAGCCATTAGGTTAGAAAATAACATGTCCACTTTGAAATTATCACTGGAATGTTTGTAACACAAATATGACCCTGGAGCACAAAACCAGTCTTAAGTCGCTGGGGTATATTTTTAGCAATAGCCAAAAATACATTGTATGGGTCAAAATTATTAGCAATATGCATTGCTAAGAACTTCCTTTGGACAACTTTAAAGGCGATTTTCTCAGTATTTTGATTTTTTTGCACCCTCAGATTCCATATTTTCAAATTTATTTCAACTAAATATTGTCCTATCCTAACAAACCATACATCAATGGAAAGCTTATTTATTCAGATTTCAGATGATGTATAAATCTCAATTTAAAAAAATTGACCCTTATTACTGGTTTTGTGGTCCAGGGTCACAAATATCAAAATGATGATTACGTGATCACATACTACCCCTTAAACCACCAGTGGTTCACCTGATGTGAGTTTATGGTGAGTTTTTCATAATCTTAGGTACCTGTGATTATATATTCTTTGAAGTTCAATGGAAGATTTGTCAAAATAAAAATAATAATCTGACACAATTTCTGTATCAGACAGAACTGACAAATTGAGTGATGCAGAAACATGCATTTAGGTAGAAAAATGTCATCAGCCCTACAGCCTGTTTTGTGTGCCTGGGGGGGGCGGGGTGTAACAGACTCATTGCAAGCTATCGCAAACGCTTGATTGCAGTTGTTGCTGCTAAGGGTGGCCCAACCAGTTATTAGGTTTAGGGGGCAAACACTTTTTCACACAGGGCCATGTAGTTTTGGATTTTGTTTTCCCTTAATAATAAAAACCTTCATTTACACTTTTTCACACCACTGTACCTTCACTTGCCGAGGAATGCAGGGACTGTTTGGAGAGGGACATCACTGAGATCGGAATACAAGAAGCCATATCTTGCTTAGCTGTGGCTCCTATAGGCCGATCGCATTACTCAATTCAGCCAAAATTATTGCTTTAAAATTGGAAAAGGTTATCTCACAATTGGTACACATGGATCAAACAGGATTTACTCAAAATCGATCTCTTTTTAACAATGTTCGGAGACTTTTGAACGTAATTTTCTCTGTTCTCAGGTTGATTTTCCTGTTATTGTTATCTCTTTAGACGCCGAAAAGGCTTTCGATCGCGTTGAGTGGCCCTATTTATTTACAGTCCTTCAAAAGATGAATTTTGGTCCTAAATTTCTTAACATGGTCAAAATGCTATATAACCACCCAACAAGCAGTCATTCGGACCAATAGTGAGATTTCGGCTCAGTTTTCTTTGGAGTGGGGTACAAGGCAGGGTTGTCCACTGTCTCCCCTTTTATTTTCTCTCGCAATAGAACCTTTAGCTATTGCAATTCGCTCACATGACATCATTAGTGGTTTTACAACCCTTCAATCTGAGCATGTATTCTCATTAAATGCGAACGACATTATGTTGTATTTGACAAATGTAGATTCTTCTATACCAGCTTTGTCAACGTTATTACAAGAGTACGGAATCATATCTGGTTATAAAATTAATGTGAATAAGCGTGTCTCTATGCCTCTTAATATAGCTGCTACCCAATTTTCCCTTAAAAATTTCCCTTTTGTCTGGAATACAGATAAATTCATGTATTTGGGATTATAAATACCCAGAGATCTGTCTCAATTATATAAATCAAGCGTAGCGTTAGTTCTGGCAGGTCACGTTAGTCAAGCTCGCATCAGCTGACTCTTAGCTAATCCCCATCTACCTATAGGAATACGACACCTATCTAAGCATTCATATATAAGGTCCTTCAGTATTATCAGCAGTTTTCGCATTGCTCAATAGCTAATTACCCTCCTCCATCCCCAACTACTTCTCCGTCAGTCAGGATTCAGCCTTCTGATT